TCCCACCAACAGTGTAAGAGGGTTCCCTTTTCTCCACACCCTCTCCAGCATTTATTGCTTGTAGACTTTTGGATAGCAGCCATCCTGACTGGCGTATAATGGTACCTCATTGTGGTTTTGATTTGCATTTCTCTGATAATGAGTGATGTTGAGCATCTTTTCATTTCTTCTCTGCATCTTACTGGATAATATGTTTGTCACATTGAATCTTAGTCCTAACACATTCCCTGAAGGTAGAGTCCAGTTTAAAGTATTTTCTTTTTTTAACAGTGCTGGTAAACGTTTTTGTTGCTGCTACAAAAAACCTGGAAGACTACTCACAAGTTGCTGTTGCTTTTCCAGTCTAGTCTAGGGACCCAGAAAGAAAGGAATTGGTCCTGTTTTCTGGTAGAGTGAGGTCAAGCCAACACAAACATAGGATCCAATTCTAGGCCTGCCCCGACCTGCTCTGTGACCCTGGACTTTTCCTTCTCTTCTCTGATCTTGGTTTCCTGAACTGTAAAACGAAGACATTTGACTAGATCAAGGGTCAGCAAACACTTCCTGGAAAGGGCCACATAGTAAATATTAACTCTGCAGACCACAGGGCCTGTCACAGATACTTAACTCTGCTGTTAGTATGAACATGCCCAGTGTGTAATGTGTCCAGTGTGAACATGTTCATTGTGTAAGCGAATGGGTGTGGCTATGTTTCCACCAAACACAGTGGGTGAGATTTGGCCCATGGGTCATAGCTGTTGACCCTTGGACTAAGGGCATTTCCATCTTTTAATTTCTGTAAATCTCTGTGAAGAGCTCTTCTACTAAGGGAAAGGAAGGGACAAACACCCAGCAGTGCCTAGATTGCCAAGGACTTTTGAGGGGCTTTATGGAGTGTCCTTAGAATCCTCAGGGCTCTTCTGTGGGGTGGATATGATGCTGAAACTTGGGGAGCTTCTGCCCTTTGCTCACTCCCTTCCTTTCACGCCCTTCTGAGCCTCCTCTTCTCAAGCCTCCGCTCTGTTCTAAGGCAGACTAGAAAAGACCCTCAGGGATGCTGGCCTCCTATGGGTGTTACATGGGTGGAATGGGGAAGTCCCTTAGTGCAACCTGCACAGGGGGAAGCGGCCAGGTGAGGACCTGGAGCAGGGCAGAGCACTAGAGCCCTGAGGGGACCTGGGGGTGTCAGAGGGGCTGAGGAGCCAGAGGCAAGAAAGAAGGGTGAGGGGTAGAAGATGAAGCCACCGTGGTGGGGCCGTGACACAATGCAGTGCAAAGGTTCCCAAGAATCACTGTGGCTCCCATGGGGAGAGTCAGGGTCAGGCTCCTCTTTATAGGATCTGTCATTTTGCAGAGTTCTCCTATTCCCTATGCTTCTCAACTCCCCAGTACACAAGGGTGACACCCTCTCTCATCCATGCAAAGGGGAAAATGGAAAGTGCTTTTGTTGGCTGAAAGCTTGATTGTGGAGGGTGCGGTGGAGGAGGGGAGGTAACAGAGAAACCAAGGCACCCTGGATTTGCTGACTCTGGAGACTTTGCTCCGTCCCCCTAGTCTGTGACCTTGGCTGCTCCACTGATGCTCTCGCTCCAAGTTCCCCATCTGCCAAATGCCTCTGTTCCCCCTCTCACTGCCTCTCTGGGTTGGGATGAACATCCAGTGGGATCATGTGTGTGAGCTCACGCTACACGTGTGAGATGGTAGCTCATAGCATGTCGTCATTATTGTCTTTGCCGTGTTATCATCAGCTTATCCTCTGCTGCTCAGCTGGCTCTTCGGGCCTGTGAACGTATTTGAAGGTCTGGGTGACCCTCCTCTCTTAATTTTTCTTGTGTTAGCATTGATTTGCCTGGGCCTGAAAAATCATTCTGTAAACAAGCTCAGATTCCGTGGCTCTCATTGAAGGCTGTGGGCAGAAGATGGTGTTGTGGGGCTGGATTGGGGTGGTGAAGAGGAGGAGGAGGCCAGGATGGGGACGCAGAGGGGAAGCCTGTGGAGGGGAGGATGGGGAAGGTGGTGATTTGCCCCTAGGGGCATCTGGTGCAGTCCCCTCAGGCAGATCACTGTGGGGCTTTGTATCTGCAGGGCTTGCGGAATGTTTCAGACTCTGAGGGAGACAGCTCTGGGTTTGAGATGTGGATCTAGGTCTTACTAAGTGTGGCATCTAGGTCATAAGGACAAGTGCAAATGAAAAATAAGAGGCTTTGTTCCCCCTGTTCAAAATAAGGGAAATTTCTTTCCCTTCCTCTTTCCTCGAGTGTTTATGTTAGAAAACTCATAAGTGCTTTCTCTTTGCTTTGGAATGTATAGAAACTCTTTCAAAGACCACATAGGTCTCTTTTCACCGCCCCCTCCCTGGACCTGGGGGCATCTCTCTGATATGTGAACATCAGGAAAGATAATGCCCCCACCTCCCAGTTTCATTGCAAAGGTAGGCACCTAATTTAGGTGGGCACCTTGCTTCGAATTGCAAAACTGCCTTCTATCATAGAGAAAGTAGAAGTTGGCTTTTCCTCTGGAGAAAGCCCATCAGCTACCACAGATGGTCACTCCAATTACAGGAAGTTTGGATGAACTCTGTGTGACAGCCGGTGCTTTCAAATCCTCTTAACGTGTTCTTGTAGCTCTCCCCACATTTCCAACATGTAAACTGCGCCTGCACATGCTTCACTAGTGCTGTCAGAGTACGAATATTAGAATCCTTTCTGGTAGGAAGAGAAACAGGCAAACACACACACAAAGAAGCCTCATGCCTATGGACACGACTGGAAGCTACTAGAGCTGGGGTTCAGAGTCGGGCGGCTAAGAACCCTGACATTTCATCGTGATGTCTACCCAAGCTGTCCTGCTAAACTGATTTTCCTTCTTGTATCCCACTGTCTTCCATCTCCTCTGAGCTGATTATTGTCTGCTAGCCTCTCTGGGTCCACTCTCTGTCCTGTGCCTGGCGAGTCTGCCCTCCTGGCAGACTGCCTTCCTGGCTCTTTTGAACCCAGTTTCCAGTTGAGTCTGCCCAATGGGGTGAGAGGCTGGTACCAGACACTGCTCAGTTTTCCTTGCCCGCTTTCTGTTGCCTCCCTGCTGCCCCTCCAGGCAGGCCCTCCTACAAGTTAGGTCTCCTTGGGTTCTTTTAAAGCACCTCCCTCTGCTTGCCTCTTCAGGTCAAGAGGCGGTGACCAGCTTTATACCGTTGGTAGCACCAGGATGCTGCCAGCCCTGCGGTTCCCATTAATCCGTCTGCGTTTTAGCAAACCGACCTTTCTTTGAACCCCTTTTAAACTCTTTAAACATTCTTATTTAAGTCTCTTCTTTGAACAGGGCTGGTGTTTCTTTTCAGGACTCCAGTTCCTGCCTGCTCCCCAGCCTTAACCTCATTTCCCTTTCTCTTTCTTCTGACCAAGAAGTTGTATAGCCTGATCAAACCACAACTCCAAAAGTCCCCGCGTGTTCACTCTCCAGGGAGATTGGTTTAGCAATGACAGGACGGAGTGTTAACTTCTGCATCTCTCGAGTGCCTACAATAGGGCGGGCACGTGGCTCCTTCACTCACAGGGCTTCCTGTCTAGTCCCAGCTTGTGCCTCGACTCTCTTCCCGACTGGGTACGTCACTGGCCCCCGTGGGACCACAACATCCCACCCGATGGACCTTTAGATCCGCACGCCTTGGGCAGTCGTTTGAGGCAGAGACAGGGTTTTCCATCAGAACCAAGGAGAGCTCAGGTTGAAAGCACTCAGTGCCTCATTCAGGAACACCTGACTCTTTCTGGCTAAAGAGGGGCAGAGTCCAGAATGCTGACTGGACTGTACAGTCTGACTTTGTAGGAACCAGCCCCACGGTGGCCTGGGGGTCACAACCCACGCCCCATGCCCTCCTGCGCCCCTGGAGCTCTGAGCAGCGTTTCTGGTCCCGGCCCGCGTCTGCATTCCCTGAAGGGCGGCACGTGGCCGTGGGTGCTGCTGTCCGTCTCAGGGTCCCCATCTCGGCTGGCCCTGGTGGGCGGTGAGAGTTACTCTCTCACTGTGACTGGTGCAGCATGTCTCTGCTTTGAAGTCACCAGCAGTGCTTAGCGAACAGGTTTCCAGTTAAACCAACTGGAAAACCTGTTTTCCCCTTGGAATTTAATACTTTGGACTGAAGTTAAATAACTTCTCACAGATTATGCAGGAGAGTTAGTTTTTTTGTTTTTTTGTTTTTTTTTAAAGAGTATCGCTTGAGTGACACATTCTTCAGGCTTTGAGGTTTCTGAAGTTCCTAGTCTGGAACTGTTTTCCCCTATCACCTGCCAGCACTTTCCAACCATTGAATCATTATTTTCCTAGACCCAATATTCTTTCTTTGACTAACCTCCCTGATACCCCACCCCGACCAAGACCAGAGAAATAAATAATCAAGTAGGAGGTTCTCTTTTGAGCTTTGATAAAGACTATTTCCAAACCCAAGAAAGGGGGTTGATTAAATAAATAAATTATAATACATACATATACAGCAATATAATACAACCATCTATGTCATCATGCTGCTGTGAATTTACTAACAATAAATAAAATCACAATATATTAGGAGACTCAAAATAATCCCATCTTATTGAGAAATATGAAGTTATATACCCCAGAATGTTAATCGTAGTCACCTCCATGCATTATGGGTAATGATAATTATCTTTCCCCCTTATCTGTATAGTCTATCTTTTTTCAACAACTATGTATTAGTTGCACTTACCCCCCATAATTTAGCTTTTTTTAAAGAAAAGGAATATTCCCAAATTATCAGTACATTATAAGTATCTAAATATGTGGCTTGAAGTTCTTTCCAAAATAAACATCCAAATGCACAGTTCATACCCTGGAAATGTTGAGGATAAAAACCAGTTTGGCCTTCTCCACCACTCACAGTCTACCTCTCCCCTGCATTTGGAAGCAAGCACTGTGATGGCTCACGGAGTTCTGTCCAGAGCTGTGATAGTGGCCAGGTGGCCCCCGGATGTCTGCGGCCCCCCAGGTCACCGAGAAGTCTCGCTTACCTGGCGCTCACAGGCCTCTCCTTGGGCCCGGAGCTGGCCGACGAGCAGGTAGGTGGTGAGTGCGGCCAGGATGGGGATCGACAGCAGGCAGCAGGTCAGAGGCCAGTGGGCACTGCTCCTCCTGGACGCCAGCCCAGCCCTGGCCTTGGGCCTGCAGCCGTTGTCCTCCGGCAGCATTTCCACGCTGGCTGTTTCCCCGAAGCCCAGCCTCAGCGCCTCTGCCATGCTCCTGCTGCTCCTAGAGCTGCCTCCAGCTCCTTCTGGGCAGAGAGACCCCCCATTAAATAGAAGCCCAGCTCTCACAGTGGATGAATTAATCACTGCCTACTCCTCCCCTTGCCCGCCCCCCCTCCTCCCCTTTCCACAACACACTTGGCCCCACCCCACCCTGCTAGGGAATGCACCGCCTACAACAGAAACCAAGTTTGGTTTAAGAAAAAAAAAAGAGAAGGAGAAGAAGAAGAAAGCTTTCCCAAGCATATTTATATACAGTGTGCTCATGTGCTCCTTCCTTCATCTACAAAAGGAAGTTAGGAAAGTCCCTGGAGGAGGAGAAAAAGAATTCATCAAGTCAGTGGGTGGAGCCAATGCAAACATACCTGCTCCCTGGGCTGCTGGAGGCCTGCCCGCGTGACAGTCTGGGAGTGTGCGTCTTCCCGAAGTGAAAGTGAGGATGGGGAGGTGTGCCCTGTGGCTTGCGGACTGACAGATGGAAATCACGTTTGCATCACCACTTTGCAAAGTGCTGCCAAGCCCTCTCTTTCTTAGGTCTCCTAGGAGCTTATCCCCATTGCACAGATGGGATCACTGATGTTCTGAAACAAGAAGGCACCTGCCCTAGGTCAGCCAGGGATTAAGACACAGGAGCTCGGAAGAGGATCGAGTTCTTCCAAATCATGTTTTAGACTTCTTTCTCACGGTTGCCTGTGAAAGGAAAGTGTATTTTTAGCTTGTGTTGACCAACCTGTGTTTGTCTGAGGCAAGATATAAGGTAATAAGAGGTGACTGTCTATATGGGGAGGACACCCTCTGATGAGTCCAAAGTTGACTGAGCCCAAGCTGGGCGTGCCTAGGGGCCATCACATGTAACAAAGGCTAACACTGATTAAACGCTGGCTTTGTGCCAGTCACTCTTCTGAGTGAGTGAAATGTATCAATGAAATTATTCCATCCTGAGATGACCTTTTGGGGTAGAAATGTTTCTGTTCCCACCTGACAGATAAGGAAATGAAAGTGTAGAGAATAAGTGATAGAAGCAGGCTTGGCACCGGGCAGGCTGGTTCCAGAGACTCCTAACCATTACATTACTCTGCACGTCTATGGACACCCACATCCATTCTACCCAGAGTAAGTCATCCCTTCCAGGTACAGGTTGCAGAGGCTTCCTGGAGAAAGAGGTGGCATTGGAACAAGACCTTGAAACTTAGGGAGGGTGATACTGGAGAAGAAGAGAGGGCCCTACAAAAAGGTGGGTTACAGAAAGAGGAAAACTTAAGGGTGTCCTGCGGCGTGTGGTGGAAACCAGTCTGACCAGTGCGTCCATTCAGTGGCTACGTCTGCTTATATCACAGCTGAAACCCTTCAGGCTACTTGGAAAAACCTTGCATGACCTACCCACCGTCATCTCTCCTCAAGGTCCAGCTTTTCTCTTGTTATTTTCCAAGCTGTGGTTCCCTCAAATGCTCTGTGGACTGCCTGCACTGTTGTATTTGCTGTTCCTCCACTGGGAAAGCTTCCATTTCTTTCCTTTCATATCACCACACTCCTCTGTTTTTTTTTTAACTTCACGTAGAAACCTTCCCTGCACCTCACAGCCTCCAAGATGGGGTGAGATGCTCCTCTATATTCTTACAGCCTCCCATTCTTTGCCTGTAATTGACTATTTCATACCAGACTGTGATTAACTATTTTTCATCACCATCAGTAAAGTATCAAGTCTAAGATGGCAGACACGTCCCTTCGTTGTTGCTTCTAACATAGTAGCTGTCACACCATAGAATCTTAACCAACACCTGTTGAAATAAGCATCTAACAAATTCTCAAAGAATCCCAGCCAAGGGTGTGTTCCTTGGTTACCTATTCTTGGTTTAACAAATCTAATAAGAAACTTTTCCTTGAGATTAACCTAAATCTTTGCTATTGTAACTTTTAAACACGTAATCACACTTAGTATCAAATCATCTTGAAGGAATTTATAAACGTGTACTTACCTTTGTAGTTCTTTTTTAGACAGCTGGTGTGCTTGATCAAGTCAAGGTCTTAAAAGTGGTAAGTGTATGGGTTCGAATGAAGAGGTATGTATTATCATCTTCAGTATAATAAGGTCTTGAAAAATGGTGAATACTGAAAACACGAGACTGGGTATTTGGAGACTTCAGTTTTAGTCTTGTGACCTTTAGAACTCTAGGAGACTCTCCTCATTCTGATGTATCTGATTATCTGCAAAATGTGGTAACTAAGCTTATTGTGGGCTTCCCAGGTGGCACTGGTGGTAAAGAACCCGCTTGCCAATGCAGGAGACGTAAGAGACACAGGTTCGATCCCTGGGTCGGGAAGATCCCCTGCAGGAGGAAATGGCAACTCACTCCAGTAGCCTTGCCTGGAGAATTCCATGGACAAAGGAGCTTGATGGGGTGTGGTCCGTGGGATCGCAGGGCTGGACACGATGGAAGCAACTTAGAACGCAGCACACAACCTTGTTATAATTCTGTTTAAAGTAAGGGTTAGTGGATTCTGGATTTGTGCCTGGGGAGCTTCTTATGGGAAGAGGATAAGAGTTTTAGGGCACAGACCTGTTAGACAACTATCTGAGATAATTGTAGAGGTACATTTACAGAGAGTTGTTAGAAAAAAAAGGGCTTCCCTGGTGGCTCAGTCTGTAAAGAATCTGCCTACAATGCGGGAGACCTGGGTAGGGAAGATCCCCTGGAGGAGGGCATGGCAACCCACTCCAGTATTCTTGCCTGGAGGGTCCTCATGAACAGAGGAAAAAATACAGAGAGATTCTTTATACCCTTTACTCAGCTTTTCCCAAAGACAGCATCTTGCCTAAGTATAATATAATACCATAATCAAGAAGTTGACATTGATATTCAGATTCTACCAGCTTTATATGCACTTTTTGTGTATATGTGTTTAGTCCTGTGATATTTGTCACATGTATAGATTCCTGTGACCATCACTACAGTCAAGATACAGAAAAATCTCTACCACAAAGATCTGGCACGCTGCATTGTATAGTCACAGCTGCCATCCTCCCCCTCTTTCTTCCTTAACCCCTGACAATCACAAATTTTCTCTTGGTAATTATGCTGTTTGCCAAATATCATATAAATGAATCATGCGGTCTGTATCCTTTAGAGATTGGCTTCGTGGTTTTTTTTTTTTTTTGCTCAGCATCATTTCCTTGAGGTCTGTCCAAATTATTACATAAATAATACTTCATTTCTTTTAATTGCTGAATGGGGTTCCATGGTGTGGATGGACCACAGTTTGTTTAACCAGTTATCCATTGATAAACTTTTGAGTTATTTCCTGTTTAGAGTTATTAGAACAGAATAAAGCTGCTGTGAATGTACGGGTGTACAGATTCTTGTGTGAACATGTTTTCATTTCTCTAGAGTAAATGCCCAAGAGGGAAATTGCTGAGTCATGCACTTGGCAGACATTTAGTTAATAGGCAACTGCCAGACTTTTCCAGAGTGGTTGTATCATTTTGCTTCCCACAGCAATGTGCGAAAGAGTCAACATCCTTTCTGCATCCTCTTTCCAGAACTTAAGAGTTACTACGATTTTTTTTTTTTACTACGATTTTTTAATTTTAGCTCTTATGTTAAGTTTATAGGGATATCTCACTGTGGTTTTAATTTTCATTTCCCTAATGGCTAACAACATTCAACATCTTTTCATGCACTTTATTGTTATCTGTATAACCTCTTTGGTGAGACAGACATCTATTTTGGCTGTTACAATGTACTTCTCCCTTCCTCCTTGATTCTCAGTGGAGAAGGAGATTCTCAATTCTAAGGCAGAGGTAAGTAGCTGACAGAGAAATAATGAGGTACTGCATTTGAGTGCAAGATAGTGTTCTAAGTGATGGGCTAAAGCAGTGATGAAAACACATAAAAATCCCTTGTTTCATGAAGCTTATATTCTAGTGTGGGGAGATGGCCAGTAGACCACAAAAAATAAGTTGAATTTATGGTATAGCAGATGGCTTTAGTGCTTTAGAAAACAAATTAAACAAGCAGAAAAGAGAGCTAGGGAGTTACCCTAGTTGTAATTTAAAATAAGGTGGTCAGAAAAAGCAACTTTTCCCTGAGACTGGATGTTTTGTTGAAGACCTGGAATGAGGAGAAGACCTGTCGGTGTCTGGTATCATAGATTGCTCCTGACCCTGAAGCAGGTGTGTTTAAGGAGCATCAAGGTGGTCATGAAGATTGGAACTGTGTCACAGGAGCCTGACCACACAGGGCCTCCGGCTAAGACTTGGCTTCTCCTTCTGGGAGATGGGGAGTCTTAGGAGATGTGTTGCAGAAAGTTGGCAGGTTCTGATTTCAACTTCAAAAGGATCATCCTGGTTGCTGTGTTGAGAATAGCCTGAAAGGAGAAGGATGGAAACAGAGAGACTAGTTTGGAAACTATTGAAGTAAACTAGGTGAGGAATAATGGTGAATTGGATAGGGTGGTGGAAGGGAGGGTCACAAGAAATGGCAGATTCCAGATATATTTTGAAATAGAGCAGATATAATTTCTTACTAAGCTGAATGTGAATGAGAGAGTAGAGAAAAATCTGGGTCCAAGTTCTTTCCTGGAGCATCAGAAGAATGGAGATGCTGTTCATGGAGACAAGGAAGACTGTGGGAGTTCAACATCTCAGATCTAGATGTGCATTCTTTAAGGTGATTTTAGACCGCAAGCAGAGAAGACATGATGAGGAGGCAGTTGGATGACAAGTCTGGGGTTCTGGGGAAAGACTTGGGAGAAGACATTCATTTTTGAGTCACTCTTGGGAAGAATCCATCACATAACTAGTGCCCCAAAGTGCAGGCTTCTCTTTTGATTACAGGTTGTCAGTACAAAGTCCTTAGGACCAGATTTTAGAAAAGCATTAAGCTGAACCATAAGAAATTGCCAATATCAGACCATTCTTGACCTGTATTAATAATATATATGCTTCATCATAACTGTCCATTCCAGATGTCTTATATTATGTAACACTCCTGGTGAGTCTG